ACGAAAAAAAAAATATATTTAAACTGTGATTGATTACTGTAAAAAAATCTAAAATATATTTAGTTATGTTAGATAATTTTTCTAACATTCTTTGGGTGCAAAATTTTTACATTAATGAAAAAAAATATATCTTTAAACGTATAAGACAACATTTTAGAACTGACTTCTTGCTAACTGACCAGTTTTACATATTCGGCACAACATATATATATAACAATGTATAAATAATTTATATATACGAAACAGGAACTTTCGTTGTATATAAAACAGTCTCCATCTAGGTATTGTTACCCAAAATATTAAACCTTTTTTCATTGTCGTCCGAAGATTGTCTTTGCAAATGTATAACTGTTTTCTTTATATATCAATTAATATTTTTTAATTCTGTTTCTAACCTGAAAAGTAATGTTTCTGTAGATGTTCCACTCTTCTGGAATACATATATAAATTCAAAATGGTTTAAAAAAAGTCTGATTGAAAAAATATGACTTGCTTTATTCCCTTCTCAGGACAATGTTTATATACATCATATTTACATTTTATTTACACCTTTAAATACTCTCAAATCGTACAATGTACATTAAGTAAAAACCTGGACACAGTGTACAAAACATAGTACATTCGAGACATGTTCTCCCGGGTGAGCTAAGTGTTCTTCTGTACACAAAACATCAATATAAAAGCAGGATTATCACAAACATCAAACATTAGTTTACGTACAGCCGTAGTATGACAAAGTGCTTGTGGTTGGTGGCAGTACCAACCACCACCCTCCAAGTCTGAGTGGTCGAAGCACAAGCCAACTTGAAGCATTGTTGAAAATATGGCTATAATGGTATTTCCTAATGCTACACATTTTCGTTATCTGAAGATTCTACAGTACATACACATCGACAATTTTTTTTTTTCATTAAATGCATATTGGTCGCGGCCAACACCAAAAAAAAAAAAAAAACCATGACATTTCAGAAACAATTTGTGGGACGGGGAGGTTGGTAGAAAATTAAAATATAGCAACACTTCTTTACAGATAAATGAAGCAAAATGTGTATGGGAAGGATCTATTAGAACAGACTTAACCAATAACTGAAAAATACCACATTTGATGCTGGCGTTAGCTGGATGCACCAGGTATCTGCTCTCGGGATGAAGGGGTAAGTCAATGAATTTTTAAGTTTCAAAAACGTGCTTGAACCCCCACACTGACATGTAAGTAGCATCTTACCCAGCCAATTTACGTTTGAAGATCAACACGTGATTAGCTTCCTTGTGTGACTACAGTTAAGCCCCCTTGTACAGGAGATTGTTATACAAGTTGTCAACAATGCTGGGTAGCTAGTTTCACAGGGATAACTATGACTCTACCAAGTGTATAACACTGAAATGGGGTAGGCGGTCGGTTTGAGCCAACGTTTTATATGTATAAATACTTTGATACAAAACACTGACGTTAGTCAAAAACTTAAAAGAAACTTCCTCCAATTATTAGCTTAATTCCCTAATGCCCAGGTAGAATCCGGATATGAAGGAACAGCTTCAGATAAAAAAAAAAAACTAATTATAAACAAATTCAAAATTCTTTATATTAAATTGTATAAACCAATACAAAATATTATAATTCAACAGTAATGACAACTTACTGAATCTGTACTGTTAAAATTAAAAAAGGCGGCCCCCCAAAAAAAAGTAAATCAACAGATAACAGATTGATACAATTTAACTATCATTATTTTAAGTAAGATACTTTACAGTTTCCTTGTAGATTTTATCTCTTATACGACAGGAATCTTAAATTGAACAAATTTAGTGTACCTCATTAAAACTCAATGCCTGCCGCAAGAGAAATAAAACCTCAATGCTCTTCCCAAGGAAAACATGACCATCAACCGGCACGTGACAACTTGTACCAAACAACTGGCCGTCATATTCTTCGTCTTAACCCCTGTGACTTTTACCCTAAAAGGATCTTAAGGAGCACCGAAGATCCTGAGCAATATGTGATCTTTGACCAACTGAAGGCCAACATCTGTCAGGAAGTGAGGATCATCTCTCCTATTATTGCCATTACTGACACAGGCAACATCCTAGTTAGGCCACTGGATTAAGAACTATCTCGCCATACAAAAGAAACCGTAGACTTACACATTATTTTTTCTATACATGTATTTAATAAAGCTTAAAAAAAATTAACTTTTTTGGACCACCCAATAAAAAAAAACTGTCCCATACCGGAGTGTCAGGCAGGAGAATGCCGTGGGGGAGAACCAGCATCAAGTCTTGAGATCGAGTATAAGGTAGTGTCGTGGAGATTTTTCTTCTGCCTACTTGACAAGACATCTAAAGCAGTCTCCGTGACACCCCTTTAAAAGTTACACCTAGCACGGTAAACAGGCAACACACAGGCCCACACATCACAACACTACACCGATGAGGAATACAACAATTTTGCACTTTCTCATGGTTGTAAAATCCAGGGACCAATCAGAAAACATGGGTTTCGTTGAAAGGTTATAAATCCAGTGACCAATCAGGGAACATCCATTTTACGACAGATGGTGAAATTCACTCTCCAGAAAAAAAATATTAACACTACCTTACTTGATTCAACCAAGTTATCAAAGAAAATCTTTTGCACGTCAAGAATGTCAACTTACTGACCACTGGCTAACTACAAGTCCACCTGAGTAAGCAGTCTCCACCACCTTGATTTGCAGAAGCACACGGCAAGGGGTTGGAAACTTGCTTATAAACTGTTGACACTCCAACACAAAAAGTCACTTTGGATAACTTGCCTGTCGCAGTTAGCTTACGTCACTCATTCACTGTCGGCTGATAATACCAGCCTGCTGCATCACCCGGCACTGTGCTTCCTCAGTCAATTTGCTCATTACTCTCACACTGTTCACTTTTCACATGGAAGGCACTACAAGTAACACGACTTTGTACCTCGTACATCATTTAACAATAAATAAATAACACTTTTGCAAGAAAAACTAAATTAAAACATCTTTGGATGTGTTCAGGACTAACAAAGTGACGGCATCACTTCTTCAGCGAAATGGGGAGGAAAAACGTTCAACGCGAGAGAGAAAGACCAGAAAAGCTTTCATACAGTTGAAGGCGAAAGAAAATAATAATACTATCAATTGTAATTTAAGTCTTTTTGGCGTCACTAGCACAATTTTCAGTATTAAAAAAGTTTTCCTAGGACACCTTGGCACTACTAGACTTCGGTGGCGATGTAGTTCTCGTCGTCATAGTGTTCCTCTATGACGAAGACGCTGGAGGGCGTGGTGCAGGTGGAAGGTGTACACGTAGAGGTTAACGTGTTCGTGGAGGTGTGCATGTCACAGCTGCCTCCACTCCCACTCGCACCACCTCGCTTCATGTACACATCGCTGCAAGTACAGGAAAAAGAAACCATTAATGACGAGCTTAAGATGAACTTGAAAACACATACACGCACGCATTTATGATGTACTGAAAATTAACGTACACGCGCACAACCTGCCAGTTTGAGGCAGGGGCAAAGAACTGAGAGACTAATCCTGCAATCACAAATAAGCTAGTGCATTTGGGCTTGTGTGCACACGTGTTTCACGAGCGTCCAAAAACATTAAAAGATAAGGTACAACACTTGTATAAACTAGCATTTAACATCGGTTTCAATAAAATGACATGTTCACGAGAGTGCATAACAACACTGCCAGTGGTTGGTGGAAGAGGTACTCACCTGTGACTGTGGGTGCGAGGCAGGTGTGTGTCTGGGAGCACCTTGCAGGGCGCATTGAACTCTGAGGTCGGCGTCCCACGGCAGGTGGGGGCGTCTAGGTCCTTCTCCAAGCGATCTGCAAGGGACAGCCTGGAGACGTCTGTGTTGAGTGTCTTAGTACTCCTGGTTGGCACGATGCTGTATGTATTCTCCACCACCTTCTTATACTCTGGTTCCTGGTGGTGGTGGTGGTGGTGATGCTGCTGGGGGTGTTGGGGTCCGTGGTGGCCCTGGGGCTGCGTGTTGAGGGGCTTGGCAGGGTAATCCAGAGAGTTGAAGATCATGTGATCTTCAAGACACTTATTATTGACGGCATTGACAGCGTTGTGCACCATGTTTTGTTCATTTTGACGACGAGCCTCTTCATCTTGGCGTGCGAGGTCACGACTGCGTTTGCGTTTCATACAAACTATGGCCAGCACCGACACTACCACCAGCACTGGCACAGCTGCACTGAACACCACAATTAGTACCACCTGGGCTGGGGACATAGGCTCCACAACCTTGAATGTGTGTGGAGAGGTCTTGGAGGTATCAATGGAACAACGAGGGCCGCCTACTCCATCAGGACAGGAGCACTTGTAACCCACTGCAAGATCCGGTGCCTCCATACAGTGACCTCCATTGTTACAAGGGGTCGAGGCACAGGGTGAGTGTGGTACTGGCACGGTGTCCGTACACTGTCTGCCACCCCAGCCAGATTTGCAATGACACTGGAAATCGTTGATACCATCAATGCAGGTGCCACCATTTGCACAGGGTTGAGTACGACAGTCGTCCACATTAGTCTGACAGAGCGTCCCTAAGTAACCAGGTATGCAACGACACACGTACGAGTCGACACCATCCATGCAGGTACCGCCATTGAGACAAGGCCGGTGAGCACAGTCGTCAATATTAGTCTGGCAGCGCGCACCAGTGTAGCCCACAGGACACACACACTGGAACCCATCATGTTCGTCCACACACGACCCACCATTGAGACACGGGTCTGAAGCGCACTCGTTGACGGGTCGTTCACAATTGGGTCCCTCGTAACCCGCGTGACACAGACACTGGTAACCCATGGCGGTATCCGAGCAAGTGGCCCCATGCATGCACGGACGGTCAGCACACGACTGGCCAGAGATTTCACAGTATTGGCCAGTGAAGCCAGAGGGACACTGACACACGAAGTTGTCATCGCCTGTATCGAGGCAAGTGCCACCGTTACGACACGGTGTGGTGGCACAGGTGTCGTTGATGATCTCGCAGTTGGTGCCGGAGAACCCGGGTGGACACTGGCAAGAGTATGAACCAGGCGCAGTGTTGAAGCAAGTAGCACCATTCTTGCAGGGTCGGTGGTTGGTACAAAAATTGAGGTCTTGGTTACAGAAGAGGCCGCCCCAGCCCTCGTCGCAGGCGCACTGCCAAGGCTTCTCGCAAGTACCGTGGAGACACCCAGGGTACTTCTCACACTCGTCACAGTTGGGACCCTTCCAGCCATTGTGACATCTGTAAAAACACAAACAACGCGTGGTTAGCCTAACTCATAAGTTTCTATACTGGTAGCTGGTACTCTGTGCCTAGCTAGACCCCCTGCTGCACCACTAATGGTCACCAGGTGGTGGGTGTCTTCCTCTTTCTCTACCAAGTACTACCACTCTTTCCCCCTCCCCCCCAAGGTAACATCTCCCGTCCCATTTTTTATCTTCTATCGACCATGTTTTATTAGGTGTCCAAGTTGTGGTTGGTGCAGTGTCCTGCGGGCAATACTGTACTAGGCTATCAGGGGCTTCTTCCCAGTGCGTCCCCATCCGCGGTACCCAACACTGAGGAAGTGAGACCTGAGCCTCTCCTCCTCTTACACACCCTCCCCCACATGCTACCGCAACTCCAAAGCTCTTCGTCCAAGCACCATGGGCTGGCTATGGTTAAAACCGATAATCATTGACAACACACCTCGGCAGCCTAGTCTTCCCATATTCAAGCGGACAAAGCTATCACTTTTCCCTTTAGATGACCTTAACCTAATGAGAGTAATGGTAATGCGATACACTGGTGAAGGAAAGGAAGTGAGGAAGGGGGAAGAATCACAAGCGGTTGTAAAAACAACAAAATATCAGCCTCCCCTCGCCTCTCAAGAAACAAAACCCCACTTGACTTTGCAACTCAGCATTGCTCTTTTAGCCAACCAATAAATCGATATTCTTTAAAAGTCCCATTGGCACATAATTGCCGAATGTGATCTTTTCTTATATGCAACAGCTTATATAAACGAGTTCTCTAGTCTCTCGCCCACAACCATACAGCTATAATTTACCACTCCCCAGTTCGCAACTCAGTATTAAAGCTATTAATCGACAATTCCTATCAGCTTTCGTACACAGCCCCAAGTAACTGCTATCAACCATACTCCCCAGTGTCGGGTAAAGCCGATATCAACAACATTAACTTCAAAATTTATGTTACATTTCGAGGATGATACACCCTTTCTTAACAGCTAACTTGTAAGAAAGTCATGATGCCGTGTGAATTACCTAGACACAACAAACTCTCCTCTATACAAGTCTAGAAATGATGGCAGAAACCAAGAGATGGTAAGACACTAACTTTACTACGACGTTACGTTCATTACTGGACGCAATGTCAGTGCAGCCTCTTTCGCACCATTAACAAATCTAGCTCACCTATTGCCTCGCACAAAACCCCTTCTGGGTTACTTACCTGCATTCGTTGGGTTGTTCGCAGTGACCCGTGGTTGGATGACACCCAGCTCTGCAGATAGCTGTAAAATAAAAACAACAATTAACGAAAGAAAAACTACTGCATGGCTAAATAAAAACAAAAGATCGCTGCATCAATCCCCAAGGCTGTAATAAATTTATGGGGACTCTGAGTTATCTAAACAGCTGGCTAACTAGACAAGAACCTTATCTATAATGGCATCAGGAGGCGACATCTGCCAATACTGTGCGCGTGTGCACATGCTAGCTTCATTGAAGGATCCAAAACTACAATATGACAGCCATTTTACGTCACTTGAACGAAAGTTATTTAGCGGGACAGTAAATTCTTGTCAAACATCACTTCGCCTGTGGGTTGCATCCTGCGAATTACGTTAAACATAATGAAAGCGAGACACCCCGAGCATCATTACTCTCTTCCTGTAACTACAAGTATATAACGCTTCCAGTAACTACAAATATATAATCTCAATATCTACGTATCAAGAGAACATCCTACCCCCGAACACACAAAACTCAAATAGGTAACTGCTCACACCTTTGGAACCCCAACTTCCTTTCTCAGTTCCCTCCTGCATAAACATACACTAACTTATCTTATTCTCTCTTCGCCCTTTTAGGGAGGTTCCCTGATAACAGGGAGGAGCTCTCGATCCAAGAAAGGGGAGAATAAGTCCTTCCTTGGATCAGGAGCTCCTCCCCGTTATCAGGGAACCCCCCCCCCCTTAAAGGGTGAAGAGAAAGTAAGTTAGTGTATGTTTATGCAGGGGAAGTGAGAAAGGAAGTTGGGGTTCCAAAGGTGTGAGCAGTTACCTATTCGAGTTTTGTGTGTTCTCTTGATACGTAGATATATATATATATATATATATATATATATATATATATATATATATATATATATATATATATATATATATATATATATATATATATATATAATTAATAATTTAATTAAGAGGAAGCGCTAAACCCATACGGATCATAACACATGGGGAATGGGAGGCACACTTGATCCAAGGAAGGGGAGGATAGATCATTCCTTGGATCAAGTATGTCTCCCATTCCCCATGCATGATCCGTACGGATTTAGCGCTTCCTCCTAATTAAAATATTAATATTCTGAGTTATTCTCACAACCTTTTGAGTACTATCAGAATGGGGCCGAAAAATGAATGAAGAGGAGGGAAGTGAAAATGGCGTCGGCAGCAGCAACAGCTGCTACCCGTGACGTCACGATGCCCCAGGACATCTGGTGGCTTACCTAGGAACTAAGCAGTAACACCCTCCCTCCTGCACGTGGTCTACAAACACTGCCTCTCTAACCAAGGAAAACTTTACACATAACTCATCCCTCACGGCTACTTACCTAACATGGCATAAAAATCTCCACTGAAACTTTTATGTAAAACACTAAACCAGTGTGGGTCATTCTGAATATGGAAAGGTGGAGAGGCTATTAGCCGCTTGCTTCTCATAAGAAACGCTACCTAACTGTACTGGTGTAGTCATTAATTTGAATATTTTGCACACTGGCAGGACTCTCTGGTCTTTTCTCTTCTATTCATAAAAAGCAAACTTCCATATACATTTTGAATTTTGACAAGCAAACTTTCACACACATTCTGACATGCAAACTTCCAAATATATCCGATTTCCAGATAATACTTACGGGTGATGCAGTAGTCGTTGGTGCCCTGCCATCCCTCCAGACACACCAGGTAACCGGTGGAGTTACACACATAGTGGCCGAAGGTATCATTGCGAGGCTTGCACCACTTGCGACAGCCCTCGCCATAGTAGTGCTCCTGACAGATGACGCGGTACTCGTAGCTTAGGGAGGCGTGAGCTGTGTGATGGTCATCTTCGGTCCAGTCCTCACCCAGCTCCAGCCACCGCTGAGTCATTAACCGGGTGATGAGCGCGGGTCCTGAACCAAAACAAGAAAAAGCCCTCATTACTAGAGGTTACTATATGTTCCACAACATTCAGCATGTAAAACTACGTAAGGAAAATCAAGATATAAGCTAGCACAATGTGTATACTCTCCTCGAGAGGTACCTGAAGTCGGTAAGGAGCTCGTGATCCATGGAACTGGACTTATCCTCTCAATCCCCAGGAGTTGTATGAACCTTATGTGCTTAACGTTTCCCCAGGACTACAATTACATTCAATCTGTGTACATATAAATACATCCAACCTACCTTTATTGTCGGTAACCTACACGCAAGACAGGGCAATTATTTTTGTCTGAAACCTCAGTTTAGTGAAATGACAGAAAAGCCCTAAAATATAATCCTAATAGCTGTACTAATCCTTTAAATCAGCCACTAATTAATTTATCAAACTGATAAGTATTTCAGGAACACGAACTAAGGAACTAAAATGTTTTAGACAAAAGCGTTTTACTCCCGATCTCCAGTATCTATGCGAGAAATTACACGCGCTTAGAAAAGTTTGCTAAAACTATTGCAAAAGATACTATTCTAAGAATACACAACGCAGCCAATAAAATGCCTAAGTTTTTTTTTAATAATTTTCTCCATTGAAGGAAAGTTAATGAGGAAAAGAAAGAAAAGGATGAAAGGTGTGATGGGAGTGAGGCAGGAGAGAGGTGTGCATGGCGCTGCCCGCATGACTGGGAGTGCATGGGAGCGTGGGAAAGTGTCTGGCAGGGTCTCCGGGCGGGGCTAGAGTGATGCCCTGCATACACAATGCCACCACTGCTGCCTACCTCAGGTAAAATTAAACCCGTTACCTTGTTTCCTAACATCAATCTTGGCTACCGACTCCTCCACTAACCCCCAACACGCCGCTGGGAACAATATAAAATTTGGTTACGAAGATTAACGTCAAAAATTCCATTTATTAAAACTTGAGAAACCTTGTAGAGTGGCAACAGAAACTGAGGAGGGGGAGTAACCAGCTGGCTGCCTTCCCCACCTCCCCAATGCCCCGAGCACGCATGCAATTGCCACGTTCAGGCTGTTACTCATCGTCATCTACCCACCACACATGAGAACTAGCAAACTCAGTATTTATATACATACATGCATAAACTTCATTAGGCAACGAATTTTTTTTGGGGGGAATTTTGCAGTAGAGTGGTAACTTTTTTTTTCCTAAAGTAACAGACTCAGTGCGACACACTAATTCTTTCACGTTAAAAAAATGGTTAGTTTATTCGCTTTTCTAACAATGAATTTGTTACTCAAGATTGCCAGAAAGGGGAATGAAAACTAGAAAAGGTAAAGAAGACGTGAAAGGGTCAACGGGGTCAAGTCATTCAATAGAATTTTAAATGGATAAGGTTTAAGGGAAAGAGCGGAAAAAACGCAAATAAAGTTAGTTGTAGGAAGGTGGGTTAACTAAAGATGGGAAATCCGAACGTCTGTTAAGAGCACTTGAACGCAGTACTCGCCATCTCTGCTACAATTTGCGAGCGTTGTAGAGATGATAATGCCAAGTACACATCACTGTTTACCCCCTGTGAATATGATCAAAATTAAACTACAGAAATTACAAACAAAAAGGAAGTAGTAAGAACAAAAACTTCAGCAACCTTCCTCGAACTGTCGCCAAAACTACAAAATGCCTACCTCCTCAAACCCGATATTAAATAATCTTCGCGTTGCACGCTTCAACTGAGGGGTACCGCAAAGAACGACACTAACACGCCTAGTAATCTCCCCTGTCCTCTTTCAGGACATACTAAAAGGTTTCAGGGATACCAAAAAGGGAAGGGAATGGGGCACAGAAGCGAGGCGGCAAGGAGGTAGGATCTAGTGGAGGAGGTGAGAGGGGCGAGTGTAAGCGTAGTGAGGGTTACAGCTCTCCTACCATGGGAAACTTTGCGAACAGAGCGTCCGGGCGAATGAACCGAGCTACCAAGCCGAAATTAACGTTTTTGTTTTTTTTTCATCGAAGGTGAGGGACAATGTTATTTATCAAGCAACATAAAGCTTAAGATTTCACTGTGACCAACATCCTCTGTTGTACAACGAACTGTAACTAGTATAGTATGCTACACCCCAGGTGCAACAGGGAGAAATTATGGCTCAACGGTGCAGTGAAGTGAATCAGAGCGCCAGAGAGGTACAGCTCATATGAGAAGAGATGTGTGCGTGTGGTGGCGAGCCCCCTTAATGAAGTACGGCTGTCTCCAGTTCCTGCCACGGCTCACTACTGGAGCCACGCTTCCTCCGTTTCCCTAAATGTTCTCGGCTGTCCATATGCTCCTATTGACCACCCTTACCTCTGTCCACCATCATAATTAAGAACGGCTGCTCAGTTAAGTCTGCGTCCTCGCATACATCTTTCGAAACTTAATTACATCTTTTATACACTCCCTATATCTATAAACCACAAATTCTTTCAAGTTTACCAGTAAGGGAAAGATGATAATTTCTGTATGATTGAGGTAGATGGCGGAGTATGGCAACTGATGGTGTTCCTTTGGGCGGGTATCCTAGAGCGCCTGGGGCCTTAGCGCGTCCCGTGTAGCCCAGGGCGACCGCTAATATCCTGCCAGTCCCCACCCGGCTAATAGCTCTTAGTAAGCCTTTCTTGATACTTAAAAAAGTCCCTCTCGCTGAGAGCCTATTAGATCATATTTACAACTCAAGCAATGTATTAAAATAACAATGATCTATGAAGTATTGACATTTTCAAATCGGATCTGTGAAGTATCGACTAATTCTCAAATCGGATCTCTATTACTGTCGTGTATGGTGTATGTGTACTCACCTAATTGTGGCTGAAGGGGTCGAGACTCGGCTCGTGTGTGTGTGTGTGTGTAGTGTGTGTGTGTGGAGTGTCTGTGTGGAGTGTGTGGAGTGTGGTGTAGTGTGTGTGTGTGTGTGTGGTGGTATGTGTGTGTGTGTGTGGGTGTAGGTGTGTGTGTAGTGTGTGTGTGTGTGTGGGGTGTGTGTGTAGTGTGTGTGGGGTGTGTGTGTGGTGTGTGTGTGTGTGTGTGGGTGTGTGTGTGGTTGTGTGTGTGGTGTGTGGTGTGTGTGTGTGGTGTGTGTGTGTGTGTGGTGTGTGTGTGTGTGTGTGTGTAGTGTGTGGTATGTGTGTGTGTGTGGTAGTGTGTGTGTGTGTGTGTGTGGTGTGTGTGTGTGTGTGTTAGTGTGTGAGTGTGTGAGTGTGTGTGGTATGTGTGTGTGTGTATGTGGTGTGTGTGTGTGTGTAGTGTGTGTGTGTGTTGTGTGTGTAGTGTGTGTGTGTTGTGTGTGTGTGTGTGTGTAGTGTGTGTGTGTGTGTGTGTGGTGTGTAGTGTGTGTGTGTGTGTGTGTGTGTGTTGTGTGTGTGTGTGTGTGTGTGTGTGTTTAGTGTGTTTGTGTGTGTGTAGTGGTGTGTGTGTGTGTAGTGTTGTGTGTGGTGTGTGTAGTGTGTGTGTGTGTGTGTAGTGTGTTGTGTGTGTGTGTAGTGTGTGTGTGTGTGTGTAGTGTGTGTGTGTGTGTAGTGTGTGTGTGTGTAGTGGTGTGTGTTAGTGTGTGTGTGTGTAGTGTGTGGTAGTGTGTGTGTAGTGGTGTTGTTGTGTGTGTGTGTGTGTGTGTGTGTGTAGTGTGTGTGTGTGGTGTGTGTTGTGTGTAGTGTGTGTGTGTAGTGTGTGTGTGTTGTGTGTGGTGGTGTATCTGTTGGGTGCGGGGTGAGTGAGTTGTGGAGTGTGTGTGTGGAGTGTGTGTGTGTGTGTGGATGTGTGTGTGTGTGTGGAGTGTGTGTGTGTGTGGAGTGTGTGTGTGTGTGGTGAGTGTGTGTGTGGAGTGTGTGTGTGAGAGTGGTGTGTGTGGTGTGTGTGTGTGTGTGTGTGTGGTGTGTGTGTGTGTGTGTGTGAGTGTGTGAGTGTGTGGAGTGTGTGTGTGTGGAGTGTGTGGGTGTGTGTGGATGTGTGTGTGTGTGATGTGTGTGTGGAGTGAGTGAGTGCTGATGTGTGTGTGTGTGTGTGTGTGTGTGTGTGTGGTGTGTGTGTGTGTTTTCTAGAGGTAGCATTCATAATCGTGACAAGAATACTGCAGGCAGGCAAGCTTGTTTAGCTTTGTTGACCCTACGCACGCACTTCAAGCTACACACAAAACTGACAACTCTCCAGCCAGCCTCTCTTCTCACATCAGGTTCACTAAGGATACTGTATGGGCCTAGTATAACAAACGAACCGAGCTGCATTCTCGCACGAGAGTTTACTAATATTTACTTGTGCAGAAGAAAAACACTGCAGCATATAAGAGTGAATTCTGAAACATCTACGAGTCAAAAGGAACCGGATATTGTGTTCCTCCCTTGCGTCACCCCTCCCTCCCTTCCTTCCTCTCATTCGTTTCTTCCCTCCCTCTTCACTCCATCTGTTTCGTATTTTTATTGCCCATTGTTATGGTCACATCTGTTTCGTGTCTGTATTCTGACAAATCAGCCATAATGAGGATAGCAAATTAGAGATTATCTAGCTGAACAACTTACTCTTAAACAAGCTTGAAGCAAAATTTAATACATAGCTGCACTGAACTTGAGAAATTAAACTTTTTCCAGATGTCTACTGGACGAAATTTATTATATAAAAAGCAAAGACCATAGATACATCGATATATGAAAAGTACATACAATTTCATAGTTTCCTGTGCTCACGGAAACTCTCCCCTATTAGTTTTTAACGTACATGGGTTATCTTATAAATTCTATTTTTTTCCATGACACGATTTTTCCCATAATTTTGTATGCGTGTCACACACATCAACAGCCTAATCAACAGCCTAGGCAACAGCTCAATATAATAGGTTCAGAAATACACGGTCAGAGAACTTTGCCAACAGATGAATTTACAAAGATTACACATTTTTACGATTTTAATATTTATAAACTATACATATTTAACTTGAGAACGAGCAAACCTTCAACGAGTAAATTCACCAACCACCTGGTACCAACTACGATCTATAGGGTAACAAGAGTAGTTTCTCAATATTTATGTGCAGGTTTACACACACACAAACATACGTGCATTATACAGTATACAGAAAATATAAATAAATATAATATATATATATATTATATATATATAATATATATATATTCCTTGATAATGTGAGTAGTCACGAAATCGCTTGGAATTTCTCTATTCTTTCACAGTGGTTGTTTTGCATATTCTGAAATCACCTGTTTACTGTGATCTTATTGCAATATATAATATATATATATATATATATATAATATAATATATATATATATATATATATATATATATATATTATAAAAATGCACTATGTATATATTATGTATAATCCATGTATACTGCATGTACATACACACACTTTACTCCCTATTATAGTATTTTAGTAATCTTTATGTTAGTGTTCAAGTAAATTGTAGAAGACAGCTTTTAATATAACGCACTAACGAGAACTTATTACACCAAAATATCAAGCTGATCAGATGCTCATGAAAACACCTTTTAAAATATATTTAAGTACCTGGCACTCCTACGCTAATGTTATATTACCAAGCTTGTTTAATTACTAAACTTAGCAACCAGTATGTCTATAAATTAGATGGTAATGAAACTATGGCATGTACGCCATGGTGTGTATCTGTTAATACACCGTTTTAATACTTATGGTTGGACAAAAGGGATAAAAGTTTCTCGATTGATGTACATGGAGGGATGGACTTTTTATTTATCATTCAGGTGCATGCGATATGCAGTCTCAATGGCCTACGCGAAATGTTAACAAATATAAAGATTAGTAAAATATTAGTGCTGTTGCTGCGACACTTAACTGGGTAAGGGGTTATATATTATACTACGATTTATCAAAGTTCCCAATTATAAGTAGAAATGCACGTTGCATCGATATCTACGAATTTGGGTAGCTGTAGAGGTAGAAAAAGAATCGAGAGCAGAATTCAGAGCACAGCAAAACAGCTGGGAATGCAGATAAATACTATGTTCAACTTACCGACATATGAGGCTGTGCCGTTGGGTTCTTCGTGCCAAGCTTCAATGATGAGAGAAAAGGTCCCCTGTTGAAGAAGAAAAAATCCACTTTTAGCTTTCCTTTACCACCACTTGTTTTACTAAACAGAATTTCACATCATATGGATTATATGTATCAGTGACCTTTTCTTTTATTTCGTTTTGCGAATGCATTTCACCACGAATCCCAAAGCGCTTCGATTTAGAAATGTGGAAATACTTTTTTTTTTTTCAAATTTCAAATTAAGAGCTACATTTTCCAATCTGCCATCCGAATAGAGGCTCATAGCCATCACTAACACAACGTACCACTGGTAAACTCCAAAATCCTGTTGTTTAGGGTTTTACAACCACCAAGCAATACTCGGCACCAGCCTAGAAGGGCAAACCACACATGCCATAAACACATTATAATTTCCTTTCTCGGATCACCATAGCCACTGCATCACTGCCATATGGGGATTATCACCACTCATTTGTTAATCTAACACCTTCGTATATAATTTATTCCAAGAAAGCCACTTACAATATGAGCACTTTTTGAAACACTTGTTATATATGGACTTTATGGAAATTTATACACTTAACAATTTTTCATAGATTTCACTCACAATATCATATGATCACACGTTTAAGCAGCAGCAGGAAAACACTTTAAAACATTATTGAAAGAAGTCGTACAAGATCCACTCAATAAAATACTGCAGCATCAGACTGCAGAGCGTGGGAACTGAGGCTGCAGGTTAACTTTGCAGCGCACACACGTTACGATTAAAAGGATTCTTGCTCAGGCACTGAGTAAAAACTTGTTCGTCCACTGTGAGGCTGGAGCGAGCTTTCTGCCTCATTCTCCTACCCCCCCCCCCTTTCCTCACACACATGGTTGGTCGACTCGTATCTTCTTTGCGTTGGTCTCACAAAAACTCTAGTTAATCCTTCGTCACTAAATATACACACTTTCAAGGCGAATTTGATCTTACTTGTGGGGGCCGAAATTCTCGGCCATCAACCAATACACACACTTATCACTATTTTCTCACATTGATATTTTAACTTTTTTTTCTATGCATAACTTTTTCAAGACAAGATTACATCTGGACAGCATTTTCATGTAGCTTAGCAATTTTTAACATTTCCACTCATCTCAGCACTTTGGGATCTGTGATTTCACATTTCACTTTATTCGATTGCATGTATTCAACACACCACACGCGTTTCTTACCTGCCACGAAGCCAACTGAAATCGCACTGGATTCACAAATCCATCCAAATCCGCTTTCGAGAAATCCACTTCGTTTTTGCCCAAGATAGGCGTCACTGCCTCCCCAAAAGTGCATGGGGATTTCGGGTCGATCACCTCCTGGTACACTTTAAGACACACCCTGAACTTGGTTCTGCAGGTATCACTACACTTGCCCTGTGCATCTTTGAAACCACTACAACAGTGGCCCTCAGTATCCCGACCATACTTGTTCACAAACTTTTTCAGTTTTAACTCAAACACAGCGTTGGCAGAGGTCTGAGAAAGAAATAAATGAAAATTAAAAGAAGCTGCAACACACATAATTGCATATATTTAACAGCAAATTTTGAAATTCACATTCAGATATGAGGAGGCAGATATATTAAAACAAGTCCCCCAAAAGAAAATTAAGTTTCCTTAAAACAAACAATGATGAACTTACCTCTGATAAACAAGTGAAGATGATGATCATGGCCAATGCGATGACCACGGGTTGTGTTAGCCACCGCATGGCTGTGCGTTAAGTGTGTGGCGTGGAGCGTGTTAATGGTGCGGAGGATGGCGCACAGCACACCCTCTCCGTGCTATAGATCGTGACAGACTGACGAGGCAGGCAAACGTTCAGCCCCAGCGCCCGCCGGCCTCAACCTACGCTCCGCCCACCACCACCACCACCCTCCACTCAGACCTGCACACACACAATACACTTTTATTACTTCTTCCTCTTATCTACCTCTACGTTTCCAACTCATACAAGATTCTACACTACTTCTACACAATTGTACATATTCACCAGGTGTATTTCACTCCTTGCTAGACACGTGGAAGGTTTGTTTACTCTGGGCCGGGAGCTTCAAACAGTAGGGAGACGATAAGCGTCTCGGACTGTTAGTAAGCCAACCCGCCACTAGATGGCAGCAACACACAGTATACAACATAATATCACATAGGAAAGTTAATTGAATAACATTACATTAGAATTCGTACTTTTTGTGCCACAAAAAAATTACATAGTTTCAAAAATAAATTTTCAATGCAGTGTGTTTTGAAATAACTAGCAGGATTAGAAAAAAAGTACTGCAGAGGCTTACAGAAAGGTAATTTATATACACAAATATTAGCTACGTACGTGTTTATATATATATATATATATATATATATATATATATATATATATATATATATATATATATATATATATATATATATATATAATAATGATAGCCGCACATATAACATTAGAGTAACAATTTATAAAATTAAATACTACTATACTACACAAATGATAGTAACTCATGAAAGTTCATAGGCATGAAAATGATAATTATAAGAGTAAATGTGGGACCCATGAGCCAATATATATTAGTGAATCTCTCTTACTTTTAATCTTACCACGAACAGATGCAAAAAGACAATACATGTCTCATTTTGAAGTACACAAGAAGAGTTCTTGCATACCAGTGACAAACACTACACCACTGGTGAAGACAGTGGCCGGATAGTAAACAAACCATGGAATGGGTAGGGTTGAACCCATGGCGAGTGAGTCCGTGCTAACCTTCCTATGGTGTATAGAAATATACCTAGTTGGATGAATCTTATAGTCGGCTGGACCAGTGGCTTACGCATTGGCCTGGAGTTTTAGGACCTAATCATGGGTTCAAACCCCATTTCCGTGGTTTGTAATCGTGTTATTACGATTCCATCAGCAGGATAGTACTGTAGTTCCTTAACGCTTGCCACCACACATAACCTTAATTTTTAAGGAGTGGTGGACAGGTAAGCATCGCTCGTGACAAGATCTAGTGGCAGGTCATTCGCATAGCAGACCCGCGTCAGGAAACAACTGTCCTGTTTCTTGACTAATCTTACCTAACCACATCTAAATTCTAAACAAATTACGAAGAACAAACATAATTCTCCCCACACCCCCAGGGCGCATGTGCCAACTTTAGCGCATCACCAGCATATAGATCTTCATCTGAATGCATTTTGTACCTATTTACTTAAGCTCATATGACTAGTTAATGGGGAAAAAAGCTTATCCTACTGCCATCTAACCTGTCAATATATTAGATGCGTTTATGTGCTAGATTCACCCAGATGCCTTAAAATGTATATTTAATTAATACTGAAGGAATAATTAACATCAGAAAATTTATCTATTGGTGGCATGTGGTAGTCGATAGAGATGAAGGGGGGGGAGGATGGGGAGGGAGGAATGAAGGGGAGGGGGAGGGAGGAATGAAGGGGAGGGGGAGAGGAATGAAGGGGGGAGGAGGAGAGGAAGGGAGAGGAATGAAGGGGGGAGGAGAGGAAGGGAGAGGAATGAAGGGGAGTAGAGGAAGGGGAGGAATGAAGGGAAGGGCAGGAATGAAGGGGAGGGGGAGAGGAAGGGGAGGGAGGGATACGGGGGAGATGGACGAGGGAGGGATGGAGGGGGGAGGGTATGGGGATAGGGGGGGGGATGAACAGCTGCGAGCGGCCACCTGCGCTCCCCACAAACCTCCCGCGCGCGTGAGGCGCCCTCGCAGTACAGGCGTATCCCGCAACCTGAGGATTCTCCTAGAGATATTTTCCCTCCGAAAACTTCCAAGAAGATACCATTTAATAGATGCCAGGAGAGACTCCCGTGAAGCCTTGGTTTAGGAAAGATTGAATAATCAAGGAATAGTCGAGACTGAATAATCAATAGTTTTTCCCACCCCCCAAGAGATTCTCCAAGGCGTCTATGTGGTCCTGTCAAAAGATTCTCACCCGGAGAGGATTTTCCCAAATTTTCCCAACGGGATTTACATGACATGTTCTCTAGAGATACTCACATAAGGATTTTTCCTTGAAGATTCAAAAATTCTATTACAAGAATCAAAGAATATGAATATTCGCAGGATTCCTAAGAATTCTAAGAGATTCTTTTTGCTCTGGAATTAAGCAATAAAGTTTAGACTTGAACCAAATTATTTATAAGTATAAGACGACACTCTACCTCTTAAATTTTATATTAAAGCCAAATTTTCACCAGATGCTCGTGACCTAGTGGTAGCACCTGTGGCTCACAACCGAAGGACCCGGGATCGTTCACGGGCACATTTCCCTGCACAAGTCGCCCCATGTTCACCTAGCAGTAAGTGGGTACCTGTCGTAGGTCTCATCCTGGGGAAGAGGACCAGTGGAAAGCAAAGCCACACAGTTTAGCTTCCTTGGGTTATCCTGGGTTACTAACTCTCCGGGTTAATAATAATTTATAAGATTAATTATAATCTTAAACAATAACGCTTAGCAAGTTGACAAGTGACACTAAAGATTAGTCAGTCAACTTTGATAAGTTGTACCAATGTCTTGAACCAGCTGCTAGGATGGTAGTCAGGAACCAGCTGCTAGGATGGTAGTCAGGAACCAGTCGCTAGGATGGTATTCAGGAACCAGCTGCTAGGATGGTATTCAGGAACCAGCTGCTAGGATGGTAGTCAGGAACCAGCTGCTAGGATGGTAGTCAGGAACCAGTCGCTAGGATGGTAGTCAGGAACCAGCTGCTAGGATGGTAGTCAGGAACCAGCTGCTAGGATAAGTCCCGGCCTTTATATAAGCCACAAGGGACCCCGCTCCTCACTAGGTCAAATTAAAGATCCTTTTCTTGTCAATGTAAAATAGCGATCGTAGGAATCACAAGCCCTTTGTTGGCACTGAAATAGTTCCACTGTTCATGGAAGGCTTTAAAGATTTAAGAACATACCCAGAGAAGCACATCGACCGAGTAACTTTTCGGGCATGTAAGACAATGATACTTCCAAGTGCCGTTAGATAGTCCCAACAGTCATTGAAAGCATTCCGGAGGACAAAAATTGACCTAATTTGCCCAAAACAAAGGGGTTTCTATATGGTAGTATCTCACTGTCAGTCAGGCCTGTATACATTGTACATGTACTTGTAGAAAAAGTACCAAACGCATCGTACGTTAGACCCATTGTTGAGTACCTGAGGTTACCTGGAGGTTATTCCGGGGATCAACGCCCCCGCGGCCCGGTCCATGACCAGGCCTCCCGATGGATCAGGGCCTGATCAACTAGGCTGTTACTGCTGGCCGCACGCAGTCCAACGTACGAGCCACAGCCCGGCTGATCCGGCACTGACTTTAGGTATCTGTCCAGCTCTCTCTTGAAGTATGCAGCACCTGTGTGTAGCTCATATCCGATTAGTCGCATTTAAAATCTCGAAAAAGTTTATAGGTTTGTGGCAAGAACACAAAAGCTGAAAGGACTAAAAATTCTGGAAAAAAAAAAAAAGTGAGAAATGTTCCGACCATAGGACACAACAGCGGCTAGCGGAGAGGCGAGGCCAGGCGCAGAGGCTCGACCCCTGCAAGCATAAATAGGAGGGTGTACTAAGGGGCATGCTGAACAATTCGCAAACGGGCGAAATTTTAACTATTAGTGCACAGCAGGACTAACCTGCACATACTGTAAGGGACATATGCTGACTACCTTGGAAGACCGTAGCGCCAGAGGCGACACGATCACGACGAGGGTATCATGGGTCGACATGGAAGCGAGAGAGAGAGAGAGAGAGAGAGAGAGAGAGAGAGAGAGAGACAGACAGACAGACAGACAGACAGACAGAGACATTCTGGAGATTAACAAATTAGTCTTGGGCTGCAGTGTTGTGTGGAAGCGGAGTGAGGTGCTTGAGGAAAGCACAAGAGGCGGTCCCGGTAAGCGCTTCCATTAGTCAGGAACCACAGGGCCCAAGAGTCTTGGTTGTTCCTTACAAAAATCTGTCGATACCCAAGAAAAGGCCGAGCCAGAAGCTGCAGACTCCCAAAAAACCCCCCTTCCACACACACACACACACACACAACACACACACACACACACACACACACACACACACACACACACACAACGTGTGCTTACTGGAGAGTATATTGCGTAAAAACACTGACAGGACTCTACGAAGCTATGAAACCTCAAGAGGGTACGACCTTCCACGGGCGGGAAGGGATGGAGATTGAGAAACTTGGATGGGGGAGGGAGAGGATTGTGGTTGATGGGGAAGACGATGGAAGGGGGGGGGAGGATTGTGGTTGATGGGGAAGACGATGGAAGGGGGGGGGAGGAAGGTGCCAAAGTAGCGTTGACCTGGAGCGATGGTGGATATGCCCTTATGGTCCTCAGATACGCGACGCGTGCCCCACCACCCTTCAAGACACAGACACAACACACACACACACACACACACACACAACACACACACACACAACACACACACACACACAACACACACACACAGACACACACAGACACACACACAGACACACACACAGACACACACACAGACACACAACACACAGACACACACACACAGACACACACACAAGACACACACACAGACACACACACAGACACACACAGACAGACACACACACACACACACACACACACAACACACACACAGACACACACACACACAGACACACACACACAGACACACACACACAGACACACACACAAAGAGATTAGTGCAAAAACTGGAGGACCAAGCAGGAATAACAGGGAAGGCACTGCAATGGATCAGGGATACTGTCAGGAAGACAGCAGCGAGTAATGGTACGAGGGAGAGGTGTCAGAGTGGGCACCTGTGACCAGCGGGGTCCCACAGGGGTCAGTCCTAGGACCAGTGCTGTTTCTGGTA